GGCTGGGATTATGTGTGAGCTGGACACAGAACCCAAAGCCTGCGGCCACTGGACAGCAGCAGCAGACCTTCGTTTCAACATACAGTTTATATCTGTAATGTATATCAGGGTCTTACTCTATGTAGCTCAGAAATTAAATAGTGGCACAGTCAGATGCTGAAGTGACATGCATTTACCAAAATGCCCACTGTATATGTGTGTGTGTGTGTGTGTGTGTACACATGCATGTGTTAGTTTAGGATTACACTCAGCCTCAATTTGTGCTAGGTCAGTGCTCTCCCACTGAAAGCTACATTCTCAGCCTTCAGCTGTACAGTGGAATAAGTAAGTGAGGAGCTTCATAAAAAACTAATGCTTGGGCTGGAGAGATGGCTCAGCGGTTAAGAGCACTGACTGCTCTCCCAGAGGTCCTGAGTTCAATTCTCAGCAACCACATGGTGGCTCTGTAATGGGATCCAGTGCCCTTTTCTGGTGTGTCTGAAGATAGCTATGGTGTACTATTATACATAAATAAATAAATCTTTGTGTGAAAAAAAGAAAACTAACGCTTGCTAGGCAGTGGTGTCAGATACCATTAATTTCAAAGCAGGTCGATCTCTGAGTTTGAGGCCAGTCTGACCTACATTACAAGTCCCAGACTCAGAGCTACATAGTAAGAGTTTGTTTCAAACTAATAATGATGATGGTTATGGTAGTGGTGATGATGATGAAGCTGCTTGGATCCTGCCCTTAGGATCTTTAGGGCCTTTGAATTTATTTTAGCCTTGAGATGAATTTTTTGTTTGATTGGTTTGAGTGTGTGTGTGTGTTTTGTTGTCTTTCTCTCTCTCTCTCTCTTTCTTCCTTTCTTTCTTTCTCTCTTTCCTTCTCTTTCTTTCTTTCTTTCTCTCTCTCTCTCTCTTTCTTTCTTTCTCTTTCTCCCTCTCTTTCTTTCTTTCCTTCTCTTTCTTTCTTTCTCTCTCTTTCTTTCTCTTTCTTTCTTTCTTTCTTTCTTTCTTTCTTTCTTTCTTTCTTTCTTTCTTCTGTTTGTGATTGAACTCAGGGACTCCTATTGAGTTACAGCCCCAGCTCAAGACATCAGAATGTCCTAAAGCTCTAAAGGCAATTCTAGGACAGTAAAGGCTGACAGCCACCATTTAGATACTGCTGCCCAGTCCCCATGTTGTTTTGTTGTGACCGTGTTCTTCCTAACCACTCTCTCCCAAGACTGAAGCAGCTTATTTGGGGACCAGGTTTTTTGTTTATCTTTCAGATAGTGTTTTATATGGTTCAGGCTAGCCACCGACTTACGTTGACGGTAATAAGGATACCTTTGACCTTCTGATTCAGCTGCCTCCACCTCTAGAGTGCTGGGATTACAGGTGTGCCTGGTTTATGTTGGGGATTGAACCCAGGGTTTTGTGCTTGTGCCAAGCACCCAATCTACTTACTGAATTAGACCCCCAGCCTCTGGGCACTAGGCCTCGAAGAGAAGCTACTTGTTTTTTGTTTGTTTGTTTTTATTTTTATTTTTCCATTTCAGCTCTCCATAAATTTGAACAAGCATGTGCAGGTCCACAGCCATCACAGACTCTTTGTGGCCTAGGACAGTCCACTTCACATTTTCTGCTATCTAGGTGTACCATTACCTGCTTAGCATGTTCCTGTGTTTTGTGACTTTAGCCCTGTTTGCACAACAGTCTTGCTCCCTTTTTCAGAATAGGCAGTAAGTGAAAAGGGGGTACTGAGGAGTGGATGGTTCCTCTTTCCGATGGCTGTTGATACATCACCTTTCACCAGGGACTAAATTTACCTTAAAGGGTGTAGATCAAATGACACATCAGAAAGCACATTTCATCACAAAGCAAGAAAGGGGACACTGTTTCCCAGGAGAAGGAGAAAAGAAAAGGATTTCTTTTCTTGTCCAAGGACTTGACAGAATGGCAACTGGATATCAAATGTTCAGTGCTAATTAACAAATGCTCTGTAGAAAGTCTCCATCTGATTCCTTCTCTCTGACTTGAGGGCAGAGAATAAGCGGCAGGGAGGAGTCACACAGGCCCCTTTCTCTAGCTTTAGGATGCTCACGGGCAGCTGGCCAGGAGCCAGAGTGCTGACTGCGGCTTCACTGAATTACTCTGCGGACTTGGAAAAGTCACTTAACCTCTGTGAGCTTGAGTTTCCTTATCTGTAAAACTAAAGCACACTGCACTTAGCTGTGTCTTGGACAAACTGAAACCCTGAACTCCATCTCCATCTGCAAGGGTCAGGTCTTAGAAAAGCAGAGCTAGCTCATCCATTTCAGTGCTCTGATTCACGAGGCTCATAAGGTTAAAATCTCTGAGATTATCTGGTTTTTTTTCTTGTCTTTTTTAAAAAGGATTTATTTTTATGTAGCCCGGTGCTCTAGCTACATGTATACCTGCATGCCAGAAGAGGGCATCAGATCCCAGTACAGATGGTTGTGAGCCACCATGTGGTTGCTGGGAATTGAACTCAGGACCTCTGGAGGCTCTTAACCACTGAGCCATCTCTCCAGCACTGAGATTATCTGAAGTTTTAAAACATAAGATTGTATTTTCTACTTATTTATTTATTTATTTGACCAGGCTGGTCTCAAACTCAGATATTTATTCACCTCCCTCTGTTTGTAGTGCTGGGATTAAAGGCATGCACCACAACTGTCCAGCTGTTAAATACAATAGCTGTTTACTTTTTTTTTTTTTTTTTAGACAGATTCTTACTATATAACCCCACCTGGTCTGGTCTATGTAGACCAGGCTGGCTTTGAACTAACTGCCTCCTGAGTGTTTGGGTCAAAGGTATGTGCCACCACTCTCAAGTATGTACTGAAATTTTGATTAGATTGGGGTACATACCACCCCCTAGACCCTTTAACCTAGACATATGCCAGTGACACTACTAAGAAATTAACACGATCGGGGGAAGACAGATGAGGACGTTGCTCCACGGTAGAGCTCTTGCTCTAGCATTTGTGGGATTCTAAGGTCAATCCCCACAATGGTGCTGGGGTGCAGTGGACATGGTGGGTCAGGTTTATAATAATCTGAGTCCATGGGAAGCAGGAGCCAAGCCAGCCTTAGCTATGTAGTGAGTTTGAGGCCAGCCTGGACTATAGGAGACTCTATGAAAAAAAAAAGCCAACCAACAAGCAAAACGATATTAATTTAGTTATATGTGTATTTTAGGTTCTCTTATTAAATATATAAATTCCCTAATCCATAATGTTTAAGGCTCTTCAAATTTAAAAAGGTTCCTAATTTATATTCTCTTTTGGAGGGGGAAAAATCCCACATATGTTAATACTATGCTTCTATCATTTTCTAGTCTGGGCATACAGCTTTGTGGTTGGGCACCTGGTACAAAGTTCCATCACCAGCACCACAAAAACAAATGGTTTGCAATTTGTCTGCTTTCAAAATATCTTTCTGATGAAGATGGTGTATGTAAAATATTGTCTCTTTAAAAAATTGGGATGGTGGTGTATTCTTTTTTTTTTTTTTTTTGAGACAGGGTTTCTCTTTGTAGCCCTGGCTATCCTAGAACTCATTCTGTAGACCAGCCTGGCCTCGAACTCAGAAATCGGATGGTGGCATATTCTGTGTAACTGGCGCTAGTTTATCAGCCAGGCAAAAACAGAACTGGGAAGACTGTGATTGCAGAATTGGAGGAAGGTTGGGAGTGTACCACTAGACTCAGCTACAGAGACCATGTCTCAAAAACAAACAATAATTAAGAAGCCATAGTTGTAGCCCTAGATTTTGGGATGCTGAGGCAGGAGGGTTGCTTACTTCAAAGTCAGCTTGGGCTACACTGAACATTTAAAAAAAAAAAAAAAGAAAGAAGAAAGAAAGGAACACTATAGTTTTTTTTATTCCTACCACCAAAACACAAATCCAAGACCTGAGATTACTTTTTTACATGTAAAAATAAGGGATTTTAGGAAGTGGGGGACCCTTTAAATCTCATTTCAAGGAAGAAAAAGAATGCGGAGTAGCTGGTCTGAAGCACCATAGCTGTCCTATAGGGAAGTCATCAGTCCCTCTGAATAAAAGGCAGGGCCCAACAGAGGTGAGCAGGTGTCAGTCTTATTTAGGAACTGAAATCCGCTTGGGGCCGTTAGGAGCTTTGGATCCTGAGCGGCAGACTGTGAAAGCCCAGGACTGCATCCTCCCCATTGTTTCAGAAGGAGCTCCCCTCCCCCAAGGTTGGAGCTGGGTGGACCTCCTTAGGCCTTTGTAAGCTAATATCTTATTTAATTGTCCGCATTACGGAGGGGGAGGTGGTGGTGGTGGTGGTGGTGGTGGTGGTGGTGTGGTGGAAAGAGGGTACCGAACGGAGAGGGCTTTTTTAAAGTAGGAACTCTGCATTTGGTGTAGGGCCGGTGGCCTGTGGACTAGCTTGTGTTGAGCTGTAATTCTGGGGGAAGGGCTTAGTGTTCCTCAAGAAGGGGCCCTCAAATGACTCCCTTGGGAATTCTATCTCGCAATCCTCCTCGCTCCCCCCCCCCAACTTCTTTTGTGAAGAGAAATGAGGGTAGGATGGGAATGGGGTGAAGACAAAACTTGAGATAATTCTGCGGTGTGCGAGCTGGTAAGGGGTGGGTGTTTGAGGCCGCTCCTCCCATTCTTGTCCTCCGACCTCTGAAGCAGGCAGACCACCCTTTGGAATCCACGTTTTCCAAGCTCAGCAGATCCTTTATCCAAAGAAAAATTACTGAAGCCTATCGCCTTAATCTATTGAGCGGGCAATGTTTCCCACTGTGGGCTTGGGGCTGACCCCGTGGAAGCGGCTAGGATAAAGACATCTGGGGTGTGGAGCTGGCAGAGGGTAGGGCACAGTGGGCCCCCAAGGTGCCTCACTGACACCTGACCCAGAGCCGGAGCAAAGCTTCCTAGACTCCCCCACCCCCCAGCCCCCGCACTCTCTGCTCTCGCCTCCTCTAGCTTTCGCCTCCCTCCCTGGCAGCTTCTCCCCACAAACTCTCCTCCCCCATCTCCCCACTACCAGCTTTCGCGCTCCAGCTCCTCCCCTCCTCCGCGCCTTCTCGCTCCCCTCCCCCGCTCCGCCGCTGCTCCCTGCCCCCGCCACCGCCGGTCTCCTCCGCAGTCTGGGCCGCTGGGTGCAGAGCCTGCCGCAGCGTCAGCGGCCTCCCCAGACCGGATACCCATTGTGTCCTATCCCATCCCGCCTTCCACTTCTCACGGCCATGGCGCAGGAAACCGGGAGCAGCTCTCGACTCGGGGGGCCTTGCGGGGAGCCTGCGGAGCGCAGAGGTGCGGTAGGGCCAGGCTTGGGCAGAGATGGGGGCCAAGGGGACGCTCGCATGTAAGGACTTTAAGTGGGCGGGTAAAATGTGTGATTCTGCACATAAGCCCCAGTTCTCCCATCCATTCCCACCCTTCCTGAGCCAGAGGAGGGGGAGGGGTAATGGAGGAGGCTCGGAGAGTACGCGCCCTATCCCCCAACCCTCCTTTTGCTGGGTGTCCAGGAACCACGAGAGTCTGAGCGCTAGCTTCCTGCAGGGTCTGACTGTAAGCTTGTCTTCCGACCCTAACCGGACGTTCCTGGACCGCTCGTTCTTTAGAGCCTCTGTTATCCAACACAACCGCATTACCCACACGTTCTCCTTGTCTTCTCCCCAGGTGATGCTAGCGAGGAAGACCACCCCCAAGTCTGTGCCAAATGCTGCGCACAATTCTCTGACCCGACCGAATTCCTTGCTCACCAGAAGGCATGTTGCACTGACCCACCGGTAATGGTGATAATTGGGGGCCAGGAGAACCCCAGCAACTCTTCAGCTTCCTCTGCGCCCCGACCAGAGGGCCACAGTAGGTCCCAGGTCATGGACACAGAGCACAGCAATCCTCCAGATTCTGGGTCCTCTGGGCCCCCGGATCCCACTTGGGGTCCAGAGCGGAGGGGAGAGGAATCTTCTGGGCATTTCCTGGTCGCTGCCACAGGTACAGCGGCTGGAGGAGGTGGGGGCCTGATCTTGGCCAGTCCCAAGCTGGGAGCAACCCCATTACCTCCAGAATCCACCCCTGCACCCCCTCCTCCACCCCCTCCCCCACCCCCTCCCCCTCCAGGTGTAGGCAGTGGCCACTTGAACATTCCTCTGATCTTGGAAGAGCTGCGGGTGCTGCAGCAGCGCCAGATTCATCAGATGCAGATGACTGAGCAAATCTGCCGCCAGGTGCTGTTACTTGGCTCCTTAGGGCAGACGGTGGGTGCCCCTGCCAGTCCCTCAGAGCTACCTGGGACAGGGACTGCCTCTTCTACCAAGCCCCTACTGCCTCTCTTCAGTCCCATCAAGCCAGTGCAAACTGGCAAGACATTGGCATCTTCCTCTTCATCCTCCTCCTCAGGAGCAGAACCACCTAAGCAGGCTTTCTTCCACCTTTACCATCCACTGGGATCACAGCATCCCTTCTCTGTAGGAGGGGTTGGTCGAAACCACAAACCCACTCCTGCCCCCTCCCCTGCCCTGCCAGGCAGCACGGATCAGCTGATTGCGTCACCTCATCTGGCATTCCCAGGCACCACAGGACTCCTGGCAGCTCAGTGTCTTGGGGCAGCAAGGGGCCTTGAGGCTGCCGCCTCCCCAGGGCTTCTGAAGCCAAAGAACGGAAGCGGTGAGCTGGGCTATGGGGAAGTTATTAGTTCCTTGGAGAAGCCAGGTGGAAGGCACAAATGCCGCTTTTGTGCAAAAGTATTCGGCAGTGACAGCGCCCTGCAGATACACCTTCGTTCCCACACTGGTGAGAGGCCCTATAAGTGCAACGTCTGTGGTAACCGGTTCACTACTCGGGGCAACCTCAAAGTACATTTCCACCGGCATCGTGAGAAGTACCCACATGTGCAAATGAATCCACATCCAGTACCAGAGCACCTAGACTATGTCATCACCAGCAGTGGGCTGCCTTATGGAATGTCTGTGCCACCAGAGAAAGCAGAAGAGGAGGCAGCCACTCCAGGCGGAGGTGTTGAACGCAAACCTCTAGTGGCCTCCACCACAGCACTCAGTGCCACCGAGAGCCTGACACTGCTCTCCACTGGTACAAGCACAGCAGTGGCTCCGGGGCTCCCTACTTTCAACAAGTTTGTGCTCATGAAGGCAGTGGAGCCCAAGAGTAAAGCTGATGAGAATACTCCCCCAGGGAGTGAGGGCTCAGCCATCACTGGAGTAGCAGACAGTGGCTCGGCAACCCGAATGCAGCTAAGTAAGCTGGTGACATCTCTGCCGAGTTGGGCACTGCTTACTAATCACTTGAAGTCAACTGGAAGTTTCCCCTTCCCTTATGTGCTAGAACCCTTGGGAGCTTCACCTTCTGAAACCTCAAAGCTGCAGCAACTAGTAGAAAAGATTGATCGCCAAGGAGCTGTGGCGGTGGCTTCTACTGCCTCGGGAGCTCCCACTACTTCTGCCCCTGCACCTTCATCTTCCGCTTCTGGACCTAACCAGTGTGTCATCTGTCTCCGGGTGCTGAGCTGCCCTCGGGCTCTACGCCTGCATTATGGCCAACATGGAGGTGAGCGGCCCTTCAAGTGTAAAGTGTGTGGCAGAGCTTTCTCCACGAGGGGCAATTTGCGCGCACATTTCGTGGGTCACAAGACCAGTCCAGCTGCCCGGGCCCAGAACTCCTGCCCCATTTGCCAGAAGAAGTTCACAAATGCTGTCACTCTGCAGCAACATGTTCGGATGCACCTGGGGGGACAGATCCCCAACGGAGGTTCTGCACTTCCTGAAGGTGGGGGAGCTGCCCAGGAAAACAGCTCTGAGCAGTCTACAGCCTCTGGACCAGGGAGTTTCCCCCAGCCACAGTCCCAGCAGCCATCTCCAGAAGAGGAAATGTCTGATGAAGAGGAAGAGGATGAGGAAGAAGAGGAAGACGTGACAGATGAAGATTCCCTAGCAGGAAGAGGCTCAGAGAGTGGGGGAGAGAAGGCCATATCAGTACGAGGTGACTCCGAAGAGGTATCTGGGGCAGAGGAGGAAGTGGCAACATCCGTAGCAGCACCCACCACCGGGAAGGAGATGGATAGTAATGAGACAGCCACTCAACATGGTCTGCCGCCACCTCCACCACCACCTGACAACCTGGATCATCCCCAACCCATGGAGCAGGGAACCAGTGATGTTTCCGGAGGCATGGAGGAAGAGGCCAAACTGGAGGCAACCTCAAGCCCAATTGTAGCACTCACCCCAGAAGGGGAGGGCACCAGCACCCCTTTGGTGGAAGAGCTGACCTTACCGGAAGCCGTGAAAAAGGAGCCAGGAGAGAACAGCAGCAGAAAGGCCTGTGAAGTATGTGGCCAGAGCTTTCCTACCCAGACAGCTCTGGAGGAGCATCAGAAGACCCATCTCAAGGATGGGCCACTCTTCACTTGTGTCTTCTGCAGGCAGGGCTTCCTTGACCGAGCTACCCTCAAGAAGCATGTGCTGTTGGCTCACCACCAGGTACCGCCCTTTGCACCCCATGGCCCTCAGAATATTGCTACTCTTTCGTTGGTCCCTGGCTGTCCCTCATCCATCCCTTCTCCAGGGCTCTCCCCATTCCCTCAAAAAGATGACCCGGCCATCCCATGAGCCTGTTTTCTGTACCTGGTCCTCTATGACCCAGAGAACAGAAACTGAGAGCTCCATAGGACGACCTCCAAGATTTACTCACCCCTCCTCTTATCTTTTCTCAAGTTCTGACATGATGTTTCTAGTGGCTTCTCTCTAGTCCCTAAGCTTGACAATTGTGTTTGAAAGGGAATGTCCTCTAAGAAAATTTTTATCACCTTTTTGTTCTGTGTAACTAAAGGAAACAAATTCCCTATAGCTTTGACATTCTCAAGGGGGAGCTTTCTCCCCTTCTCCCTTTCCCTCTGGCAGGTATACTAGAACCCCCATCTTTGGAATGGCAGCCTTGTTCAAAGGGGCTGGCAACTGTCCATGGAAAGCCCACCGCTACTCCTTGGTGATCTTGACCAAGTCACTCCACAAGACTTTCTTGGGCCAGGACCTTCTTGAGAAGCTTGTGAGGGGTGGTTGATTTCTTTTCTTTCTGCAACCACGACACAGTTTTCCATCGAGCCCTGGAGTTCTAGATCTACCTGCATTGCCACTTGAGCCCTAGCACAGTCATTGCTGTCAAAGCCCAGGAACTGTGCTTGACAAGGTGACTCCAACCATGATTCAGAGAGGCAGAGGAGAGCATAGCCTCCCTCCTACTTCAGCCTCCTGTAGCTGAGGCTGTGCCCAACAAGCACACCAGAGGAAAGAAGTAACTAGAACTTCTTTTTCCTTCCCTCTGCTCCAGAGGATACTAGCAATGAATATACTCTTCTAGTAATTGGTGGCTCAACCCGAGGAGGTAGGGGCAAATGAAGAACTGAGATCCTTTTTTCAGTATGTCCCTTGTTGACTCTCCACATTAAGGCAAAGATAGTGGCTGGTCAAGATGCCAGGACTCCTTCAGCTTCTCATCATGGCTTCTCAACCAACAAGCAGGTTTCTTACTAAGAGGTCTCTCATGTGATGTTTTAGGAAGTATGAAGTTCTTAACTCTAAAGAGCCTTGTTGGTAAGGATGGTTATTTAAGCAGTGATGGGGAGTTGAGGATTGTTGCTAAAACAGGCATTACTGTTTGAGTCTATCTGATAAAGAACTGAACTTGAAGTAAGGGGACTTGTTCAGCTCTTGTGAATGTGAATGTTTTCTTTGAGCTAATGATGATGTGGTATGCAGAGGCACCAGGGGTTATGGGGGGGGGGCTTCCTGTTACTAGAGTGTTTTAGTTTTAGATGACTCCCTATTTTATTCTCTCACCCCTTGTATTTCCCTTGTTGTCTTCTCAAAACCCCTTTCCTCCCTAATTTTGCCTGACCATTGGGCCAGAGATTATGTCTTATTTTTTCCAGAAGTTGAGAGACAGAGCTTCTAAGTGGTTCCTCCCTGTCTCTCTGTCTTGTAGTGAGATGTAGTATTTACTCTTAACATAGGATCCTGTGGAACAGGAGTTCTGAGAAGACTGAATTTTGCTGTTAGCTGATATCAATGATGATTCTCTAAAGTAGTGGGCTCCAGAGCTCCCTAACACAGTGAAATGTGTAAGAGCAGAGAGGGGAGATACTAGAATCTTTTCCTTCATCATTAAAGGTGTTTTGGCCAAGTTTTTGTGTGTTTCTCCTTATTTTATGACTAAATAGCCAGATGGGGTGTGATATTGGCATTCCCTAACATGAAGATTCTCTTCCCACCTTTTTCTCCTGCCAAAGCTGAACATATGGTGTAGAAATGCTCAACTTCCTTGCCCTTGTCCCCAAACACCCTCCAGTGGATGTGATTTCACTGTGAGGGGAGAAGGCTTTTTAAAACAGAGATTCTGTTTTTCAAAAGGTACTTGCCCAGTGTACAGGCAATATCTAGGTTTTCCTTTTGGATTTTTTTTTGTCACTTCCTACCAAAACACAACTTTTTTGTGTGTTGTTTTGTTTGACTTTGGAAACTGTTCATCAGTCTTTCCCAGACCTCAAGCACCCTGCTGACAACAGTGAATCTGTAGATCAAGATAATGATACTTTATGATTTTTGAGATCCAACATTGTAATCAGAGAGGGTAAAAGTTCTACCAATAAAGGAAGATCTTGCTGTTGAGAATGCAGACAAAGGAGCTGGAGAGATGGCTCAGCAGTTAGAAGCCCTGGCTCACTGACTGCTCTTCCAGAGGACCCAGGTTCAATTCCCAGTACCCATGTAGTGACTCATAACTGTCTGTTAACTCCATTTCCAGGAGATCTGATGCCCTCTTCTGGCTTCTGTGGGTACCAGGCACACATGTCATACAAATACACATTCAAGCAGACCCAAACATACAAAATAAAATAACTTTTAAAAACAATAATGCAAGCTGGATGATGGTGGCAAACATCTTTAATTCTAGCACTGGAGAGGCAGAGGTAGGTGGATCTCTGAGATTGAGGCTAGCCTGGTCTACAAGGTCTAGTTCCTGGACAGCCAGAGCTACATAGAAAAACCTCTTCTCGAAGAAAAAAAAAAAAAAGATAGTGTGAAGAAAAGAACTAAGGGTAGAGTACTTTCTTAGTATGCATGAAATTAGTCAAAGTCATGCTCAGTTATGCAGTGACTGACCAGCCTGGGATACATGAGAACCTCTGTGTGTGTGTGTGTGTGTGTGTGTGTGTGTGTGTGTGTGTGTGTGTGTGAGAGAGAGAGAGAGAGAGAGAGAGAGAGAGAGAGAGAGAGAGAGAGAGTCTTTTTATATAGCTCTTGCTGTCCTAGAACTCACTAGATAGATTGGCCTCAAACTCACAGAAATCCACCTGCCTCTCCCTCCCAAGAACTGGGTTAAAGCCTTGCAGCTACAATATCCAGTAGAGAAACTTGTCTCTTTTAATTTTAAGTGCATTGATGTTTTGCCTGCATGTGTATCTGTAGATCCTGGAGTTACAGACAGTTGTGAGCTGTTATATGGGTGCTGAAAATTGAACCCAGGTCCTTTGGAAGAATAGTCAGTACTCTTAAACACTAAGTCATCTCCAGCCTCAAAAACTGTCTTTGAAATTATATATACATGTGTGGGGTGTGTTTATGTGTGTGACAGAGAGAGAGAGAGAGAGAGAGAGAGAGAGAGAGAGAGAGAGAGGTGGCAGGCATTAAATAAACAATTTCTTTGTTTTCTTTTGGAAACAGGGTTTCTCTTTGTAGCCCTGGATGTCCTGGAACTCAAAGCCTGTCCCAAATCAGAGCCCTCTGCCCCCTGAGCTCTGGAACTAAAGGTGTATGCTACCACCATCCAGCATTTTTTCCCTTTATAAGATCATAATATCACTGAACCTTCATACTAAAAGAACATAACTGGCTTTAAAAGATAAAAGCACAATGTCTGAGGCTCAGATCCAGACAGGCACAGTGACTCACCTGTGGTCCAGCATGTGGAATACAGGCAGGAGGATCAAGTATGTAAAGTCATCCTTGACTGTACATGGAGTTGATCACCAACCTGGACAAACATATGAGACTATCTCAAAACAACCCAAAAAGAAATTAAGCAACAAAAAAAGAACCAGGTCTAAGGTCAGGCAGTGGTGGCGCACACCTTTGATCCCAGCACTTGGGAGGCAGAGGCTGGCGGATTTCTGAGTTCGAGGACAGCCTGGTCTACAGAGTGAGTTCGAGGGCAGCCAGGAATACACAGAGAAACCCTGTCTCGAAAAACAAAAAACAAAACAAAAAAAAAAACATAAACAAAAAAAAACAGGTCCAGTTGGATGGGGTGATAGAGAACTGTGGTTCTGGTATTGGGGAGTGGGGGTTGCAGGAATGGAAGGCTAGCCTGGACCACATAAAACTATTTAAGAGAAGAACTAGATCCTGAGACTCCAGTCTTTGGTGATGAGGTGCTGTTCTGTTACATCTATACTGACAGGAGGCTCCTGAAAAGACAGGTGAGTAAGTGTATTCTTCACTCTGCTATGAATAAAGAACTATTTGATTCTAGATGATCCTATCAGAGCAGTGCAGGAGGCCCTCATTAACACATGGGAATCCTGGGAAGTTGGGAGAGTTAAGGAAGGAAAAACAGCTTTTGTTTTTAATTCCTGGCAAAGCTTTGTAAATATATTTTTTTCCCATTCAGCTTATGTTGGAAGGGAAGTGACTTTCATTCCTTTAACCTCCTTCATCCCCACTAGACATAGATAATCCCGTTTTCCTCACTACATCAGACTGGCCTGCTAGTTAGGTGTCAGCTCTCATTATGGTACCAGCTGTCAGTGAGGGTTCATTGACACTAAGCCTGCCTCCCCACACCCTTTCAGGGCCCCTTTCTATCTTCTTTTCAATCTTTTCCTGATTTACTTCTCTTGCTTTTGTGTTTCTTTCTCTCCACTGCTAACTCATCTTTCTGAGTGCCTTTGATTTCCTCTTTCTTGCTTGGACCCCATCCTTGCCTTCGCTTTCCTCTAGATCTTTTTGGATGGTGAGTTAGTGTTAACCTGCTACTATGGGTATATGTAAATGCAGCTTGCAAAACATTTACTTTACAGAAACTAAGCAGAGAAGTCCAAGCTGGAGGGATAAATGTGTGGATGGGAAGAGAATGGATTTCTCACTCATTCATTTGTTTCTGAGCGTTCTCCCGTCCATGGCAACTCCCCTGGCCTCAATCCTTGAAGGCAGTGAACTCACTCAAGAGCAGATCCCAAAAACCTTTAATATGATCTAATCTGGCATGAATTGGTTCATTTCACCAGCAGAGAAATAGCTTATGGGAAGAATAAAAGTATATACATCCCATATACGAATATGAAGAATCGAAGTCATTGGTCCAACTGTGGACCCAACTGCCACAGCACAGGAGACAAAGCTGAGTGTGAGGAGTGCAATGTCATCTGCTCATAGCTGGGTGTACACTCTGTTTTGCTTTGCTGCCCTAGAGATCGCTGGCATTGTGCATACTATACACATACTCTGCCACTTAGCTATTCCCCACCACAGCCATTTATTTATTTATTTTATGTACATGAGTAAACCATTGCTGTCTTCAGACACACCAGAAGAGGGCATCGGATCACATTACAGATGGTTGTGAGCCACCATGTGGTTGCTGGGAATTGAACTCAGGAACTCTGGAAGAACAGTCAGTGCTTTTAACTGCTGAGCCATCTCTCCTTAACTTTTCATTATTTAGGGAATATTTTATTAGTTTTTGTAATCAAACTACTGCACATAAGAACTTACATGTTTAATAGTCTGTTGCCTCTGCACAAGTCGAAAACAATAGTTTAATCTTTCTAGGAAAATATGCTCATTAATTTTTATACAATTGCACACTGACAACTTAACCTGGTACACTGATACTTTTACCAAAATTGACAGATTGACAGGACAGCTAAAGCTCAAAAGTTCAAATCATTGCCAGGTGTGGTGGCACACACCTTTAATCTTAGCACTTGGGTGGCAGGTGGATCTCTGTGAGTCTGACGCCAATCTGGGCTACATATCTCAAAACAACAAATACATATATACTGGATAGCTCAGTAGTAGAGCACTTAGCCAGCATGCACAGGGCCAGCGCATACAGTACTACAATGCCTGACCTCTAGCACCATACACAACATAAATACTTTATGTAAAGATATTTAATTATAATTTATATTTCACAGGTTCTACATTTAAGGACTTTAAAAGAGCAGTGATCTCTGAGCTGAGGATGTATCTTAGTGGTAGAGAGATCCAATAATTCAATCCCCAGGATCATGAACACAAAAAAGTGATTTTATCAATGGAATCCAGATTTGTGAATGATTAACTTTAGCAGTGCTATCATCCCAATAATAGAAATATTTTACTTTAGTTCTTGTTTCTGGCTAGGTTTGCTAGTCAGGCAGGGAGATCTACCAGTCTCTGCTTTCCAACACTGAGATTACAACTGCCTAATCATGGGCTGGAGAGATGGCTCAGTGGTAAAGAGCACTATTTATTATTATTGACTTGAACTTGGATTCAAACCCCAGCACCAACATTACAGATTACAACTTTAATTCCAGTTCACGAGGATGACTCCCTCTTCTGGTCTCTAAAGGGAATTGTGTGTGTGTGTGTGTGTGTGTGTGTGTGTGTGGTGTATAGATATGCAAGTATTCAAACACAAAATCTTTTTCAAAATTAAGCTAAAACAATGTCTGCCATCACACACAGCTTTGCCTTAAATTTCTGTGGGTTCTGGGAATCTCAGAATCTCATGCTTACACAGCAAATACTTTACTGAGCTACGCCCCCATTTCTGACACATTTTTTTAAAAAAGAACAATTTATTATACATATTAGTACATTGTAGCGTGTCTTCAGACACACCAGAAGAGGGCATAAGGGATCCAATTACAGATTAGTCACCATGTGGTTGCTGGGAATTGAACTCAGGACCTCTGGAAGAGCAGTGCTCATAACTGCCGAGCCATCTCTCCAGTTCCTTCTGCACATTTTTTAAGAATGCTCTCTCACGCTGAAAAAGACGGTTCTCTAAGATATTTGTCTTAAAATATGCTCGAATTCCCAGAATTCAGAATATTGAGGTAGGAGGATTGTGAGTTAGAGACTGGGCAGAGCCACATAGTGAAACTCCATTCTCCTTTCATACACATAAAAAGAAAAA